CTACTAATTGTGCGGTTTATGTGCTTATATTCCAGCTTTTTAGTACTTTCTTGACTAAACCATCTTCAAAGGTCCCTATGGAACAGACATAGAGCTTGCATTGTAACCAAGGCATTATATTTCAACTGTTGTTTTTGTTTTACAGAGTACTGAAACAATTTTATAGAGTTCCGAAGCAAGAAATGGCAAGACATAGAGATAATTCCGCGTGGTGTGGAGCCATCAACTGCTCCAATTCCAAGCTTCGAAACCCAGAACTGTCATTTCATCGCATCCCAACAGATGGTGTCAGGTAAGAAATAACATTGTTTTCAATACTTACTAAGTCTTTGTAGTGTAGGAAGTGTGCTACCAAATAAATTTCCCTTATTTTTAGTGCAATGAATGACCTGCATTGTTTAGGCCCGGGATGCAGAGTCGGAGTCGGTCGGAGTAAACAAGTGTGACCGGGAGTTGAGTCGGGGTCGGTTTTGGAAACCGGAGACGGAGTCGGATTCACCGAAAATCCATCGACTCAGCAGCCCTGCTAGGTGGTCGGAGTCGGAGTTGGAGTCAGTCGGAGTCGACAGTCTTGCCCGGAGTCAGAGCCGGAGTTAGTTTTTGAAAGCAAGAGTCAGAGTCGGAGCTGTCGAAAATCCATAGACTACACAGTCTTGGTTTAGGTTCAACATGCATTATGATGCAGGCCTTAACTACTTCATTGGTTATCCTAAAGCTTGTAACTAAGTTACTTTTTAAGCTGTAGTCTGAACTGGTATATCAGAAACTCTCTTGCAACACTGTCTACCAGCTGGACTTAGCATAGTTCCACAGCCCCCACTATGGGGTCAGTAAAAAAAAAAAAACGATCAAATGTTTTCAGATTATAATGTAGAACCCCTCAGATTATGAGTATTGGTAAGAAAATATTACCAAGAAAATTTTAGCCTCGTAGCATGACATCTTCATTTCGCGCAGAGCACCGTACGTTATCCGCATCGGTGTCAGGCGTTGCAGTCTCCAATGGTGGAGCGCGTCTGCACTTGCAGGCGGTGCCTAACACCAGGTGGCGTGAGACCTATCCTCCGTCCACTGTTCGAGCTAATAGACGGCGTTTTATAGTGATGAACAACGCATTTTGCTGTTTTCTACATCTTAAAGTTTGTGCCCCTACCATCTAGCCTAGCCTCAAACCAATCCTCCAACCTGACAGCGGTACAGTAAACAGTAACACTGCCGAATGCCGATGGTTTTTATTTGTCAACATCGGCAGTGTTCACTGTACCGCTGTCAGGTTGGAGGATTGGTTTGTGGTTAGACGCAAAAACTTTCAGATGTAGAAGACATATCGAAAATGCGCGTTCATCACCATAAAATACTGTCTCTTAGCTCGAACAGTGGACGGAGGACAGGTCTCACGTCGAATGGTGTTAGGCCCCGCCCGTAGCCGCGCTCCACTTTTGGGGACTGCAACGCCTGACACCTTGGATAAGTTTGACACCTTCGATAACTTCCTGTCAGTACCTACGTATATCACGCATGTTATGATTTGCTTCCAGATGCTGGAAATGGGTGCAAAGCAGTAGAAGGACTGATCTCTTGGACAAGTCAGTGGAGTTTCTATACATGAACATCAAGTTCTGCTCTCTACACTTTGAGCCATCACAGTACCACCGAAACAGCAAGCGTCTCCGAAGAGATGCAGTTCCAACTCTTTTTGACTTTCCAAATGAGCCCAAGCAAGTTACTCCAAAAAGACCTCTGTGTGCCAAACCAGAGACAAACACAACTCTGAGAACAGACAAAAACACAACAAAACCAGAGGGTGAGTAATTTTAGGGTAAAGTACTAAAGGTATTATTGGCATCAATGACTCATGCGTATTTTGTCCAGGCTTTTAAATATAGCAATTTCATCTTCTGTTCATTTTGACTGGGTCACAATTATCCGGTCTTGCTGGAAGGATTTCCAATCGATTTAAAATTATTTGTGGTCTACCGGAAATTTTATCAATGACATGTCGGATGTTCACATTTTTCTTGTGTTCAATGCTTCCTGGGTATGTTGCAGCATAACGCACAAGGCTTTCTTTATTTGCCCAGTTTTTTTGGGTGTAAGAATAGATAATTGAATCCCCCTGAATCCTGATATAATATCCCATTCAAACATTTTACCATTAAACTTGAATGTAAATATCCCTCATCCATGCAATGTAAAAAATATAATTCATATTAATTATGTATCTTTTTCACAGAAGCTCCTGGCCGTAGCTGGAGTGACTTTGAGGACATGGTTGTAAATGAAGATCCCGATAGCCCAGAGAGTGGTGACGAAAATCGGCCGCCGATCCCAGCTGTACGGGCAACCAGCGACTCCAGCCACTACAGGTGTGCAGTGAGACGCTTGAAGAAGCAAAATCGACAGCTGAGAAGGGCCCTCAGAGCTGCCCGAAAGGTAACATCAGCGCAGTCCGTGTTGGAAAAGGCAAGTTTGTACCTCAACCCAAGGCAGCTGGCATTTTTCAAAATGCAGTTGGACCTGTCCTCATGTGCAGTGCGTGACAGACGATTCACGGATGAGCAGATCATTGAGTGTCGGGCACTGTACGACCAGGGGCCCCGGGCCTATCGTTATCTAAGAAAGCAGTTTGTGTTGCCAAGCCCTAGGAGTCTGACGAAGCATTGAGTCCATTTGCTGCCCGATGTCATTCAGATTAGGCCATTTTTCGCAAGCAGTATGGGGTGCAGATAACCATGAGAGGCTAGGCTCAGTATCTTTCGATAAAATGCAGCTCCGTGGCAAACTCGCGTACGAACACGGAGACGACGCCATCAAAGGCATGGGGGCCGCTGGGGGCGGTGCCAGGAAACCAGAGAGAAACGTGTAGAGTGCGATCGGGAAATGCTTTACGCACCTGAAGACTGCATGTATGACTTGGACATTGGCAGCCTCATGGAGCCTTGGAGCCACGACCCGGCGACCGTCCCGCACCTAACCCTCGCCGATGGCCGGCCGCGTGCGTGGCTCGCTAAGTTTCTGGTGCTAACCCGGCCAGCGGCTAGGAGGCGACCGTGTGTGATTCGCACAACGAAGCGCGGCTGGACAACAGTTTGATGTGTGGGAAAATGGAAAGCTGTTTTGCAATAAAATGAGTCACGTGTTTTGTCAGGTGTTTTAACCAAATGTGTTATGAATGATATGAAATGAATTTGTGAGTGGAGTGGTGTCGATGCTTTGTGTGCTTGTTCACACATTCGCCCCAGCTGTTACCGGATATCAATATTACAGAGCTGTGAATATTACAGTTTGTTCCCCACCTCCACTTTTACCGACGCTTTCCAGATAGGTTCGAACTTTACAGCGAATTTCGTATTGTAGGCGAAGTTATGCCGGCCGTGCTCCAACCAGCTACGGACCAGTCTCCGTTCCGAGGGCCCAAAGCCGGTCTGCAAGTGTTTGCAAGACTGCAGCCTGCAAGACGCTATCCTCTACAATCACCACGCAAGCCTCGGTGGGCCATGCCGTGATCTGATGGCCCTCCAACGGCCATAGGCTCTAATGCCGGTCTCCAGCGGACCGCGTTGGCTCGGCTCCTTAGATACCTCACACTTTTAACTCTTGAGTCTGGGGACGCCGGTATTATATGCCAGTGAACGATGACATTGGTAGTGATTCGCATCGATGGACCGATATACCAGCGCCGTTTAAATGCAAAGACTGACGTTTCAGTGAGTAAACATAAGAAAGTGGAGCCTTTAGAACATTAGAACACAGGCTGTGGGTTGGTATGTTGTAGGTTGGGTATTGTTCACAACAGGTCTGATTGCATTCATATGTGCCACAACTCATGCTATGAATATGCCACAGCAGAAATTGTAGGTTGTAGGTTAAAGTTTGGTAGGTTGTAGATTAGTAGGAAAGTAGGTAACATTAAGTCAGGTTAGATTATGTGGTACATGTGTAGATGAAGTATGGTTAGCTAGTTGATGGCTTGTAGGCTTTAGGTTGGTAGGTTCAAGGCTGTAGGTTTGTAGGTTGTAGGTTGGAAGGTTCTAGGTTGTAGCTCAGTAGGTAAGGTTAGGTCTGAGGTCAGGTTAGATTATGTTTTTTATCTTCACTGTGCTTCATCTACACATTTACTGAACAGGTAGTGAATATGTTTGGTTCATATATTTGCACCATATTTAAGTACTTATCATGTATGGTTTGAAGATGTCAAATACCTAATCTAAGACTATGAAAAATTTGTGCTTGAAAAGTGAACAAGACTTTTTGAGAACATTTACTGTGAGTTGGTAGGTTGGGATTTTTTAATTAAATTAAGTCCAAACCTTTTGATAGGAAGGATTCACAGGGACAGAGCCACTGCTAAGCAAAGCTTGTTGCGGTGACCCTGCCCTCTACCCTCCAATTGCACAATTCCAGTTCTATGGCAGAATTTAGAGTCCAAATGTTTACATGCGCACACAGCCACCTACGGACGGTCCCCTCGCTGACTTTGCCTGGCTACAGCCTGCCACCAATCGCAACCATACCGGTCAGGAGGCCCATAAATGTCAAACGCCCGTCGCATTTCAAACCCGGACTGTTATAACCGTGGACCATGCATGCTCTCACCAGAGTCCGCTGAGCTATGGGACAGGCAATTTTGTAGGTTGGTAGGCTAGTATGTAAGGTAAGGTCAGGTTAGATTTTATCTTCACTCCAGCTCAACACTTTTACCCAAATTTCTCCTCCAGTAGATTAAATAGGTACCTAAAAGTCACATGTTTCATTTGAAGCTAAGGATTAACTTAGCGCCACTCTCACTCTTATATTTTAATCCACCTTTTACGTCTTCTTTTCAATGTCATTTCATCCTATCGAAGGTTGCAGAAGCAAGACAGTACCTAGTAACACAAACCGATGCCTACTTCACCGTCACCGGACCTCCGGCCGTTAACACGGAAGTGTGACGCCTGCTTTATGACTACCTACTGAAGTATAGGTAACAGTTCAGGGAAAGTGAAGCATGTGCTTACCCTTGAGCCGCTCTAGTAAACCAGTTTTCTTCTACCATACAGCCAGTCCAGCTATTGAAGCTGCTTACCGAGAAGCATAAACTCTATCACGGTACCCACAAATTGCTTCACTTTGCTTACAAAGTTTAGAAATAATAACATAAGACTCGGCGTTTTCAAAAATGTCGCGTTTTAGCGCCCTGCGCCACTAATCATCTGCTTTTCATCATTATGATCACCAAGAAGACCTGTCTCGTAGTTGCCATGACAACTGGACCATTTCATTGACTTTTCTGTTATTTTTCAAACAATTCTGCATTATTTTTTACTTTTGACACATAACTTTTATACGGAAAATGTCGAGAAAGCAATAAAAACTCAGTAAATTACTAATTATGTATCTTATGTAATGTTTCGAATGCGTAAACACGCTAGCGAACAGTCATTTTGTTCGAAGAGATATGCGACCCCTAAATAATAATTGCCAACAAACTCATCGATTGAACATTGCCACAGCTGGCCATAGCATTCATTGTCAGCTTCGGCTTTTGAAAATGCTTATTCTTGGATTCATCATTAGGCTAAAAAGAAAGATTCATGACGGACATCATCATCCGACATCATCCGCGAGCGAGATACCGTCAGGTCTATTAGCGAAGGAATGAGCAATCTCATCTGCGTATTTGGAAATTCCGACCCCGACGAGCATCTGAAGTAGAAAACCACTACTTTGGTAGGGAAACTACTGCTGTCTGCTACCATTGAGTAGTAATCTTGCTACCATTTGCACTGCATGTGTCGCTACACTTTGCGACATCTAGGCCGCCTCCGCGCACCAACCGTCCGGCGGGGGATATCCGCCCCTCGGCCCTCCCGGAGGCTTTTCATAAAAAGCGAAAACCCCGCGGTGCGTAGCATTGCTGACATTGGTGTGACATCACCTAACTCTTTTTGCACTAAGTCATCAGAGCAATAGAAGTTGATTGAGCTATTTGGAAGACTCAGGATGTGGTAAGCTTATAGGTACCTACAATTGGCATATATCAAAGTTGTTATATCGATGGCCTGAGGTCAGGCCATTTTTCCCCTCCTCATTACCTAAAAGTCAATGGTCATAAGTCAATGGCGCCATTACCAGAAGTCAATGGCGGAACAATCAACTTATTTTTGCACTGAAATGTAACACCTGTAAGGCCATATGACATCATCAAACAAAGCTCGCCAAACGTTTTTACAATTTGCTTATAACTGCGTGAGCAGCACTGCGACCCGGCCAATGTGTAGCGGCGCGGTGGCGCAAACGTAAATATGTAAGTGCGCAAATGTGACGCGTGTGTCTTGAGTATAATGTTGTGCCCACCTCATTCGTTTCACCTGACTCGGCAGCCATTAAAAGCCATTTTCGGATGGATCGGCTTGCCACGATAAGTACAATACAATACAACTCCTCACGGAAAAAAGAGGCACAGCCTCGCGAATGGTCTCATGGGTTCAGCTCTGAGCTCGTCAACACCCATCGAATGATATACCTACATGACATTGAGGTCAAGCTTTGACCCTGACCTGTACAGGTCATAACAAAATATTTCGGTGCGCATTGACCAATGGATCACAATTGTACTATTGGTTTTCTTCTAGCTTGATCACTACACAAGTTGTTCACGAAAAAAGCTGGACTTCTAGTGCCACTATTTATGTGACGTCATTTCTTTACCTGACCTGAAAATGACCCCTGTAATCGCTAGCTTGCTCCGTTTTCGAGATCTAAGAGGGGGATCTAAGGATCTAATGCGAGATCTAAGGGCGAGGGCGAAGGTGGCGATCATCCCCCACCCCCACATATGCCGGGTCCTAGTCATATTTGAAAGAAAGAGCCTGTGGCCTTGCAGACGCCTCCGCGGCTGCCTCCGTTCTCCGCCGTCCGACACAGCACACAGACAGACTGACGTGTCCCGGTGTATTACATGTTCGTCATAGTCAGCGTCCGTCTACTTCTTGTTGGGCTGGGGCTTGTTGTCCTGGCGCTGGAAGCGCGGCGGCGGCGTGCGGTCCTTGCGGTCGCGCCGCGACCGGTTCCGCACCACCTTCGAGTGGATGGCGCACGAGACGCAGTAGTGCAGCTTGGCGTACAGCTTCGGCAGCACGTACGCTGAAACGGACAGACGAACGTCACCGAGGGAGCCCAAGAACAAGATATCCAAACGTACAGTACCTGTTAGTTTGTATGCCTATATGGCAGACAAATTAACACACAGACAGACAGACAGACAGACAGACAGACAGACAGACAGACAGACAGACAGACAGACAGACAGACAGACAGACAGACAGACAGACAGACAGACAGACACACATGACAGACAGACAAATAGACACACATGACAGACAGACAGTCGACAGATATACAATACACGTACAATACATACATGCATACATAGTACATACAGGAAGACCCAGCGTCAAAAATCATATTATGGCTTAGGTGTCTGGGTGTGTGTGTGTGGGGGGGGGGGGGAGGGATAATCCTCCCTGCAAAGGGGCCTCAAGTGGAAAATCGCGAGTCAGGACACGAAAAAGAGCGGAAAACCGGGATCGTCAATTTGCATATAAATGCTCGACGAGGTGGGGGCTGCTTCATAAGATAATTGAAGGAAACATCGAGGTAGACAAAAGCCAGCCAGCAAACATACACGGTGGGGTTCCTTGTTGATAAAATCGAGTGAAAAAAATTGCTTTAGAAAATTGGGGATGGGAATGGAAAATCATTTCATTTGGATGCCACTTCTCACTCAAACTGGCAATTTTGGGGATAATGTCGAGACCCCAAGCGATGCTGTTCACACATGGTGCTGGTAAAACATCGCTGAAAAACTTCTTCCAATTTCTCTGGACGACAAATGATGCCTGACCTTCCTCTAAATAAATCATATAGCGACGGCTGCAGCCCCACTACCGTATTGAGAACTACTGGTGGCGACATGTGCGGGCTTGACGGGGCGACACGTGGAGGTCCAGCGGTGCCGCACGGAATCGCCCGGCGTGTGCTTTCCCTGCGTTCGCCTGAGCCCGACACCAGAGTACAGAGTCGCGCCCAAATATGGCAGGGTGCACAACAATGCTGTGCAACGTGTCGTGTAGGGAATCCACCAATGTAATGGTATTTCAACCCGCGCCCGTATTGGTGTTTTGCAAGCCGCGAACGTATAGGGCCGTTCGGTCCCTGATCGAGCCAGGGCTTCGTGGACGTGTTGCCCGTGACGAGAGGAAGACAATGATACCCAATTTTAAGGTCCTAAGTCATTGGTGCACCTTTCAGGTCAGGTCAATGACCCACAAACCGGGAAAATCGGGACCTGTTAGAACTTCGTTAAGTGGTTGTTGAGGTTTTCGGGGTGCTCATCACGAATTCTATGCTAGTGTTTACCACTGACGATGTCTCCATGCGTTTAGGTCAGGTCGGGTCAGGTCAACCAGCGGACGTCCTGCCGCCTTTCCGTGATGTCAACCAACACTCACAGCTTCGCAACATGTTACGAAGGCACCAAAACTATATACTTCACAAACGTTGGTGCTAAATTCGAAATCAGCTCCAATAGTAACGATCCTAGAACATGCATTTGGCGGTTTCTTGCGCGAGACATTCGCAAAAAGGGGGTCCATCCTTAATGTGCGATGATTAAATGATTGTATCGGTACATGGTAGATCATTTGCGGGGGACAGTTTAACCATGGATGTTTAACCCTCGCAATTATGTATAGGGGGTAGACGAACACCCACCCGTTTTTCGCGAATAACTCGCTCAAAAAGCGGCTGGTTGCTATGTTCAGTACCCTTGAGTTCATTAGTTTTACACCTACCCTGAAAATGTCATGACCCTGTCGCAAATGATCTTCGATCAGCGACCTATTTCTCGAGACCATGTTTGGCCGAAATCGCGATTCGGCGCATGTCAGCTCATTGTCCGCACGTTTGCAGTTTTTTGTGGTTTCAAAAGTTCAGACATTTCAGATGATGTTGATCCCATGAAATGGTGGGTGTTAAGGTCACGTGAGGGTCAGGTCAGGTCAATGACCTTTGATGACATCGGTTCATTTTTGGAGTTTTAAGTGTCCCGGCTTGTTTTTGGAGCTGATTTCCATTTTAGCAATCATTTGAACATTTGCCGTTTACAAGGTAGTTTTGGTGCCTTCGAACATGTTACGAAACTGTCAGTGGCGGTTGACACCTATTATGAATACCCGGCAGGGCGCCTACTGGTTGACCTGACCTGACCCGACCTGGCCTAGATGCATGAAAGCATCATCGGTGATAAAAATAACTTGAAATTCATTATCAGCATCCCACGAAACCCCCCATAACAACCTCACTTAACGATGTTTTAACAGGTCCCGATTTTCCCGATTTTGGGGTCATTGACCTGACCTGGAAGGTCAACTAATAACCTAGGACCTTAAAATTGGGTATCGTCGGCTTCCTCTCGTCACGGACAGCACGTTCGTTTTTACCGCGAAGCTCTAGCCCAATCAGGGGCAAAACGGCAAAGGAGGGTCCAACGGACCCCCCATACGTTCACGACTGACAAAAAAAAACTACACGGGCGGGGGATAAGGTACCGAAACAAGCCACAATGAACATAATCAGGTAGCATCAGGTGGAGATGGTGGAAAAATGAATTACAACATGCAATTACAGCACATGATCACAAGTTATCGATTGAAGATAACATTTTGACTTTTGAGTGATTGCATAGGGCAAATAAGTTGGAAAATTATTAGAGAATCAGTTGGAAAAAATGAAACCAAAACTATAGCAGTGGAAACTGGAAAAGAATACGGACTGGACACCCATAGTTAGTGCAGAGGTAATATAGGTATTCCTTACTCTGGTAGACGCAGGCCTCGTTGATGTCACGGACAGCGGCGGCCTCCACGATGTTACGGACGACAAACTTTTTGATGGCCTTGTCCTTGGGACAGCAGCGGGCGCAGTTCGTGCAGCGGATGGGGTTCACGTGGCCGCGGCCGTGCTTGTTGCGTCCTCCATTGCGGCGCTTGGTCGTCTGAAAAACATAAACAAATGCATTCATTGCACGTGGATGCCACATCTCTGATCTCACATTTATTTCTGGATGCTTTGGTTTCAGGTTTGAATACTCAGCAAAAAAAGTTATTGTCAAAGCCTGAGCCTAAGTCTTCAGGTGTCAACCTGCTCTTATATCAACCTTTTGAGGGGACCTAGAGTCACCAAGTAAGTTGAGCAGTGTTAACCCGCGCCCTGGTGGGGTCTGTTTATAACGCGACCTGGTGGGGGGGGGGGCTATTTTTTGCCCCCCCCCCCCTCGTATCTCCGAAACTACTGGACGGATCCGCGAAATTCAAACGGCGTTCGAAAGGCCTGTCAAATTTGTCGAGGAAAACCAAATTTCATTGACCTCGGGGTCACCGATGACGTCACAGGTCAGGTCAAAGATGAAATGTTTCACCGTTCATGGGTCATCTAGGGAATGCGCTATAACACCGAAGAAAACGCATTTTGTCGAGAATCAGCGATATGGCGTCAGTTGCCTAGTACATATGTTGTTATAAGAGGTCACTGACATTACCAGGTCAGGTCACAGGTCAGGTCACCAAGGGTCACAGGTTCACATGAACCTAACTTTAGGTACTAAGGTTGTGCGATGCATGTTTTATGGCCAATTTTTCATTTCCAACTCAATGGTGTTGGTTATAAGACTATCAGGTACGGCTTAGGTCACTTTCTGGTGAAGGTCAGGTCAAGGTCAGGTCAAAAAAGGTCAAATTTTAAAGTTGATGGTTTTGCATAAAATGGGTATTGATTCGATGCAGCTCGTCACGGGGAGTCTAATGGTGGTCTTTGTTTTGCGCTACGAGGTCTAGAATTGCTAAAAATTGAGTTTGAAAATTTGACGTCATCAATTTTGAACCGTTTTTTCGCTATAACTTCGCTAAAAAAAGAGGTATCAATCTCAAATTTGGTATGTGGATAGAAGGCGGTAAGGACTATCACATATATTCCGGTTTTTGCGAAATTCAAAAAAGTTTTTGGATTTTTCGGCTATTATATTCAAAAAATCTATTTTATTTTTTGATTTTGGGGGGTCAAAATCCAAAAATTTCAAAAATCCGAGATAGCAGTTTTGTAGCCCTGTCAATTCTACAGCTTTTAGGTCTTTATCGTTTTACTGTATTCGCAAAGCTATAGGCCTGACAGCTCTTCCCGCGTAACTCTTTTTTGGGTCGAAAACGGCAGAACATGACGTCACTCTGACGTCATTTCCGGCCAACCTATCACAGCCTTTGGAAAAATTTTTGGTCACAATGTGTAAAATTGATGTCCTGGAGGATACTGAAAGTTTGGTGACGATCGGCGCAGCGGTTCTGGAGATATATCGAAAAGTCTGGAGGGGGGGCAAAAAATAGCCCCCCCCCCACCAGGGCGCGGGTTAAGTTTTGAAAAGTTGCAATGAGATATCTTCACACCATCAAGAGCTATTCCGTGCTCCAATGCAGCCCCCTCTCACCACCACTCCTCCTCTTCCTACCCCAAGGAGTTAATTTTCTGGAGAAGCCTAAAGGAGGCATTGGATCTGTACCCAGCACTGTCACTCCTTCCAAAAATCTGAATTTGGGTCAGATGACCTAGCCGTGCCCTGAGTTTGGTCTGCCACATTGCCTTGATGGGAGGAATTCAGCTTCTTGCAATCTATAATTTACAATAGCTTTTTCATGTAACAGTTATGAGAAAAAATATATCACAAATGTCCCAAATGTGTCAATTTGGGTGAGAAATGACATCCAAATGTTTATCAGTTTTCACTCTCAATCCATTCTTCATAAGACCCTTTTCCTCCGTCAATTCTACCAAGAAAAAGTATTCACATCGATGGTCTAATTTCCATCCTCCACCCCACCACAGTTGTATTGAAATTTTAACTTTTTATACTTTCTGCTTTTCATGGGGCCTTGCTGACTGTTCATTTTCTACCTACTCTGTCTCAACCATGTTCTGGTGATAAATTTTCTACTCTAACACCCAAGCCAGATTATAATGTTTGGAAAGTGAAAATTGTTGTTGCAAATTATGCTGGAACACCATTTTCCATTCACATTTTCACACCAAAAACAAATTGTCACTCATCAATATTTATGCTATGCATACCAATAAATGTCCATGGAAGTGCATATAGGTTTACTTTGAGCAGCTGTATATTTTCAAACATTTCAGATTCCTCCATTAGTTTTATATAAAAGTATATTATAGTGTATTATATCTATTGTCATAGACAATACCATACCAGCATAAATAATCAATTTCCTGTGAGAGTGGAAAAAATTTAAATTTCACTTATTTGTTTCAGACAACAATGTGCCACAGTGAACAGAAAGTTGTTACCAAATTTTATTTGTCGATAACGGCACTTAATAGTCCAAACATCTAGTTTTACTTCAGCAGTAATGATAGTCATTGTGTGACAAACAAAATGAATTAGTGACTTGCAATCCTAGAGTATACTTAGGAAATAGACAAGTACCTATCATGGGCCTGTTCCAGCACCTCCAGAAACCACCAGAAAGCTCTAGAATTCCCCAGAGAGCATTCCAGCGCCCCCAGAGAGTTGAGAGGTCCACATTTCTCTGGACGCTCTGGTCTACAATTGTTGTTGTTGTGGGTTAGGGCGCGTACCGTAAAACGGGGTGTTAAGGGACAGTTTTGAGATGTTTTGTTATATAACTCAAGAAGGGTTAGAGATAGAAACATCAAATTGTCAGCATTTTATGTGGAATTTGGTGCTTTACATGCCTGCCACATTAAATTTTTTAAGATTTATACCTGCATATTATTTTTTATTATTTTTCATCACTGTCCCTTAGCACCCCAATGTGGGGTGTTAAGGGACACCTATATTATTCCAAGAAATGGTCATCAAATGCCCACAATTGGGGTGTGGAAGGGCACACAATTTATTTATTGAAATGTTTTGCATATTCTGTCACAAAACAAGTCAGGTTCATTCACCACTAATGACCTCTTTAGCCAATTACGTGTAATGCAGTTTACACTTGTGGAAAATGTGCTAATTATAAGGTAAACAGAACCAAAAAGTAATCTTCTGTCATCAATAAAAACCCATGTTGAAGCTTGTCACTTGTCATTATGTTGCCCTCTTTGTTTTAGCCTTTTTATGATGACATTACATTTACTTACATCAGTCTCCATTGACCCATCATTGTAAAAGAGAGTGTTGAGATGTTTTGTTACATAACTTAAGATGTGTTAGAGATAAAAGCATGAACTTGCCAGCATTTTATGTGGAATTCGGTGTTTTCCATGCCTACTTGATTAAATTATATTTAGATTTTATTTTTTATTTTTTCTTCCCTGTTCCTTAGCACCCCACATCCACATCAAAATATGCATGTATCCGGAAAAGAGGAAGAGGATGATGAATGAATGGGTGGATTTGCACAAGTTTTTCAGGAAACATGTGCAATACATGTGACAATACACCTATACATTCATTTTCCCTGTACACCCACTAGTTTATGTGGTACACACAGAGTTTTGGAGATGTTTCAATTTTGTGAAAATGTAGCATGATTTTCAAATCCATTTTTGAACCAAACCACTTGCATGAAAAACCATACCACTTTCTCCTATGGTCAAGAGCAAAACAGTGTCAACTACCACACTGAAGTTTTTATTGAACCTTCTCAAATTAGGAAGTTAATATGACTCAAAGTTTTTCCCATGCAACTGTCCCTTAACACCCCACTGTCCCTTAACACCCCATTTTACGGTAGCAACTTGGCTCTTGCGTCCAACTGGTCTACAATTATAGCGCACATGTGACAACTACAAATGTAAACAAAGGGCTTTTAACTGTGAATTTTACAATTTGATTGTAAAGAACCTTATTATAATTTTGTAAATCTTCTTACCAAAATTAAAAACAAATTTTGTTTTTCAAGAGTGAACATTCTACAATCTTTTGGTATCCGGAAACCAATCTCCAGAAATCTCCAGATTGCGTTCCAGCGACTCCCGGGCCCTGTTTCACCGCCCAATGCTGCGTGCGCTGGGAGCTGAGGCACACACCTGACGACGACGTCACTCAAATGACGTTGCATGCGATCTGTTGGCTTGTGACGAATCGCGTTTAGAACAGAGGTCCTAAGGAACCAAGTACAGAGAACAGACGTTTGAGTGTGAATGCTGCTAGCGTGCTGATGGTGCTGGCGCTGGGGTGCTAGCGTTTTACGATAACGTCATAGAGCAGCGTCAGAGTGGAGTTTGTTGATATTGCCATGGAAACCCAACGCACCGACACGCGCAGCGCTCTGCCGTGAAACACAGCCCAGTAAGACTTCTGGTAGAGCCTCCAGTCAAGAATGTCTACTGGAGTCGCTAGAACAGGCCCCAAAATTCTCACATTGACGAGTGACTGCCACATTCTGCCGCTACACAGAATACTTTTCCAGCTTCACAAAATATTCAGCCATCCAAAGCCCATGTCACCATAGCTGTGACATTACAATGAAAGTGGAACAGGCCAGTAATTGTCATGAAATTCAACAAAAATTACGAAAAAAAATTGGTGCTCATATGCTCGACCTTTACTTTTCCGTCCACGCCGTAAAAACCTCGGTAGCAGACGATCTAGCACATGATTTAATAATTCTATAACAACTGAATACCAGGTCTATGCGGAATAACTCCCCCAAAATGATAAATAATCGGTCACATACCATGATTGCGACGCCTCCGGGTTGTAAGAGAAGTTCGGCGTTGCCTTTCACTCAAACAAAAATATATTTTGAGTCAAAGGAACCTGACCACTAAAAACCAAACTACGTTTCAAGTAACGTTTCAATAATGTTTGAGTTCAAATACAGCACTTATCACCTCCTTTAAAAATCCATTACTAGTGAATGTATAAAAATATAATAAACCAAAAAGGCGAGATCGCAAGTGAGAATCGTGCGCACCTTCTTTCTTTACATTAGCCGCGCTTCTATAAGGAATGTTCCAGGCTCCTAGCTCCGTCCCTGATGTTGGAAAAGATGCCAGTGGTGCTTTTAAAATTTACAAAATGATCGCATCTAACGATGCGAATAGCGCGGTATCAAAATTATCGCAGAACAAATGAGCTAGCGAGCCCCGTCAAAAGTGCAAAGTAGTCAGGCATATTGAGGGTCTAACCTTTACTGTGGTAGAGGGCGCCCTAAGGGAATAGCTTTATAGATGTCGCAGTGATTGTCGGAGTAGCTCACAGAATCAAATCTTTTTTTTTTTTTTTTTGCTCGGTCGGCCTAGGAGTAGTAAAGTAATCTTGGGCCTAGTGCCGTTCCCGAGCAGGGGCGGTTACTCCGGCAATTTTCGCCGGGGAGCAAGTGTTACGTTCAAAGGGCTCCGCACGGACTTTTTCGTTGGGGGGGGGGACGGTCTGATCTTCGCCCATCGCCCTAGTGTCTCCTCTCAACCTATAGGTATCCCCAAATCCAGTTTTCTCATCGGTTTTAACCCGCGCACCGACGGGGGGGCGGATATCCGCCCCCCTGAGGTTTTTCGCAAATAGCGTGAAAACCGCGGCACGTAGCGCCGCGAAATTTGGTACGACTATTGTCTCATCAATTTTACACATGGTGTGCAAGTTTGAACCTCCTAACTTAGGGGCTGATGAACGAACAAATCGATCGCATCTACAACATTTACAAGCTTAACCCGAGCCCTGATGGGGTCTGCTGATCCGATCAGTGAAATAAAGGATTAGTGCGATTACAGCCTGCTTACCGTAATTTCCGATACTTTTTTATTCTCAGCCGATAAAACAGAGCCATTCGAACCCTAATCCACTTAAAAACATGGGTTCCGTGAGTACGGGTACCTAGGAGTTACAACCCTAATCCTTCCGTAATCCGGTATGACTCAAAGTGCCCATGGAAACCAGGTAAGTATGTACAAAACGTATATCTCTGATTTGTTATATTCGTGACCTGAGGTCAGGTCAATTTCACGCTCTCCCCATTATATCTAAGTCAATGGGAGAAATATCAACTTACTCAGAATGCCATCCTATGACTTCAATATGCTCAGGATCATGGTAGGGGAAGTTGGGGCAATGCCGGAGTTGGGGCAAAGCCGAAATTCGAGATATTTCGAAAACTGTACGACATGAATGCCACCTGTCAGTGATGCTCTGGATCTTAAGTGACTACAATTATCGCATGTTTGTTACGAGTCGTCATTCGGAAAACTTCGGCTGTGAGGGCGCCAAGAGCGTTTTCAAGGTACGTTTCCCTTGTACCTACTACATGCGCCTTTGAAGCTGCATTTGTTACTCATTATGCTACCGTTTGTCTGGCCAATTCGGTCAAGTAATCTTCAGCATGTCTTTGCATAAGTGTGCTGCCTATTTGAAATTTATACAGCACGTTGAAAAGTAATGGGCCTGCAAATGAAAGTATGGCTGGCTGGGGTAATGCCGAAAACGTGCAATTACGCACGTTAAAGCACGCTACGTGGACTTTACTGCTGTAGAATAGCAACGCGTATTTTTAGCCACACAAATTACACTTTCAACCGACACAACAGCCTGTTACCTATAAGGAATGAATTACCTGGCATTTTCTTATTATATCACACAGTTATAACTTCCAGTGTGCACCAAGCGTCCTCAAGATCTTAAACGCGTGTCAGCTTTGATGAATTCTGGATAAAGTTTGAGATAAAATGGCAAAACATCAATGTCGGCATTCCCCGTAGATCATTTTTCCCATTTTCGGCTTTCCCCGCAGTCCGGGGCAACGCCGAAAAAGTCACTTCTTTGATATTCTTAGTTTGTGTACTTAACGGTATGCGAATTCATCAAATGCGCCTGGTATGTTTGAAAGGCAAACGACTGGCCTCTCGAATGACGCCAACAAGAATAGCTTATGTTGTCTACATTGCGTGCTACGGGCGTCAGAAAAAAGTATTCGGCGTTCCCCCAACTTCCCCTATTGCAGGTCCCTGTTGGTGATTCCGCCGAAACATATCACTTGTGACCTTTGGAAGGTGATCTCCAGGTCATCCGAGGTTACCTGAGGTCACCAACTGCTTTTCTTCAATAACTTTTGATTGAATAGAGATAGAGACTTCGTTCGACGTTTATCGCGGTTTTACGCCTCCCCCCCCCCCTGTCTAACTCGACTCCTGAGCGTCGTAGCGACAAGCGGTAGGCGGCATTCGAAAGAGCCGTACAAACTATGTAAGAAAGTACTTGTGTCATTTTCGGTCAGGTCAAAAACTAGGTCACCAGAGTCCAGAGGTCACCGAAGAAAAAATGTTCGTTTTTACTTCTGATAGTTTTTCTTGAATAACTTTTGATCCAGAGAAGATAGAGGATCGATTCAAACGCTATCGTTCTTAGCTCGTCAAGGCGCATCGAATGGTGTATAATATGACCTGGAAAGGTCAAGTTAAAAATTTGACTTTTGGTTAAGGTCATGACCTGACCGAAATAGGTCATGTTGCAGATCGTTCGTGTTTGTCTCGTCAATACAGATCGAATGATAGGCAACATGACCCATTTTGGTCAGGTCATGAACTTGACCGGAGGTCAATTTTTCAACTTGACCTTTCGAGGTAATATTATATATCATTAAAGGGACCCTCCCACCTTAACATTAGATTTGAGTTGAGATAGCCAAAATGGGGTCCCTGGCTCACAATTACCGGTTTCGGCACTCACAACATCGAGAAATGCCTTAAATCAGAAATATTGAATTTCAAAATTGCAGCATTTTGATTCAGAGGGGCTAATGCTTAGGAATACCCCTCTGAATGTGTGACGTCAGCGCAGATATCTAACGATTTTTAAATGTTTGACTAAAACGTTTTGTAGCACGCGGTGGTATATGCTATTTGCGCGCAACATCTGCCGCAAACGCCGCACTTCTAAAATAAAGTCGCTAGAAACAGCGGAGATCCCCAAAAAAGTAAACAAAAGTAAAAGTCTAATATCTTGAAAACCGGTGAATATTTTTCGGTGAAATTTGGTAGATATTCGTTTTTGCTCTTTCTGAACCGAGCGACATCACTTTCATGCCAATTCATAAACTTTTTTGAAGGTGGGAGGGTCCCTTTAAATGCGCCTTGACGAGCTAAGAACGATGGCATTAGAATTGTTCCTCTATCTTTTCTAGATCAAAAGTGATTGCAGAAGAACTACTGCGAAATTTCCGTTGTGAAAACCATAACATTTTACTTTCGGTGACCTCTGGTGACCTCGTTTTTTACCTGAGACAAAAGTGACCTGTGTATTTCCTCTAGATAACATCTCGACCTATCCAACGTCGTTTACCGCTTGTCGCTACGTTGCGCCGCTTTTTTGTAAGCACGATCAAAATGCATTTGGGATGCTGACATTTTCAACATTTGAGCTGCAGATGCAGCCTCAACAGAATTATTGCCATAAAGGTTGCCTCGCCTCGTTCACAGAAAAGTTATTCATCCAAGTTGACGTCACTTTGCTGGATATTTCGCACTTGGCCTGACTTCGCACTTGGACTGGGAGCATAAACGCCCGTCCATTCGCAAACGGCCTAGGCCAACTGCAATAACGCACATGGACTAGTCCATTCGCAAACGGCCTAGTCCAAGTGCGTTATCGCACTTGGACTAGGCCATTCGCGAATGGACTAGCCTTCGCACTTGGCCCGCAACATATGCATTCCGTCTCATTCACTTAGCCATGTTAAAGTACAGGGCGCAATTGGGTTCTAATTGCGCCATCCCCCTGGCGCAATTTACAGCAGCTGTTGGCAAATGCGCCCTTTTGCATGTTTTTGAAAAAGCAGCTGTCAGAAGCAAACGAAACATTCTTAATTGATCGGGAGGCTCTTAAATCGTAGCCAATGAGTTCCTCTCTGAAATAGTTACCAGTGCATGCTTATATCTCCACAGGGGCGGATCCAAGGAGGGGGGTCACATGGGTCATGGCCCCCCTTGAGACCCGGGGGCCCAAAGACCTGCCAGGGGCACCACCGGCCTATCAGGGGTATCACAGTCCTGACAGGGGCACCACAGGACCGCCAGGGGCACCACAGGCCTAACAGGGACACCACGGGCCTGGTGCCCCTGGGCCCTGACAGGACTGTAACGCCCCTGACAAGCCTGAAGTGTCCCCGGCAGGCACGTGGTGCCCCTGACAGGCCTAAGGCGCCCCTGCAATGCCGGTGGGGCCCCTGGCAGGCCTGTGGTGTCCATGGCAGGCCTGTGGTGCCCTTGCTAGGCCTCTGGTGCCCCTGACAGGCTTGTAATGCCCCTGGAAGGACTGTGGTGCCCCTGGGCCCTGACAAGCCTGAGGTGCCCCTGACAGGCCAGTGGTGCCCTTGCTAGGCCTGTGGTGCCCCTGGCAGGCCTCTGGTGCCCCTGACAGGCTTGCGGTGCCCTTGGAAGGACTGTGGTGTCCCTGGGCCCTGACAAGCCTGAGGTGCCCCTGACAGACCCGTGGTGCCCTTGTTAGGCCTGTGGTGCCCCTGGCAGGCCTCTGGTGCCCTTGCTAGGCCGCTGGTGCCCCTGGCAGGCCTCTGGTGCCCCTGGCAGGCCTCTGGTGCCCTTGCGCCCGGAGAGGACTGGTGCCCCTGAAAAGTCTGAAGTGCCCCTCGGCAGGCCCGTGGTGCCCCTGACAGGCCCAAGGTGCCCCTGCGAGGCCGGTGGTGCCCCTGGCAGACCTCTGGTGCCCCTGGCAGACCTCTGGTGCCCCTGGCAGGTCTGTGGTGCCCCTGGAAGGTCTGTGGGGCCCCTGGCAGACCTGTGTTGACTGGTGCCCCTGCTAGGTCGCTGGTGCCCCTCACAGACCTGTGGTGCCCCTGGGCCTTGACAAGCCTGAGATGCCTGGCTCTGACAGGCTCGTGGTGCCCCTGATAGACCAGTGGTGCCCTTGCTAGGCCTGTAGTGCCCCTGGCAGGCCTCTGGTGCCCCTGCTACCCCTGCGCCCGGAGAGGACTATGGTGCCCCTGAAAAGCCTGAAGTGCCTCTCGACAGGTCCGTGGTGCCCCT